CAATTTAGATAATTTTTGGTAACAAGGTGGCATACTTTAAACGTATTATTCACGTAAAGTTTTACGCCGATATAATCATTGTTTCTTAATTTGCATACTGGAAAGTGAAAAAATCACATGGAATTTAAAATGATGTTATATGGGAAATAGGCGTGGTTGTAATCCGATTTCGCCCATTTTCGTACTATAACATAGAATATAAGAAGAATATTATGTACAGAATTTGGTTGAAATCGGTTAAGCAGATCCCAAGGTTGGGTTTTCACCTAAAAGTGGGCGGTGCCACGCCCACTATCTAATTTTGAACGTGGTTCTTATAAAATCATCTTATACCATCCGAGATAAAATTTAATGTCTCTGGCTTATTTAGTGCTTGATTTATCGCGCTTTCAGTAGTTTTTAACAGTACCGTTATATGGGAAGTGTGCGGGGTTGTCACCCATTTTCACACTGTCGATAGAGATGCTAAAAATCTTTGTTCCCAGTGAATTTTGTTATTATAGCTTCAGTGGTATAGGAGATAGATGCCCCTCCCTAATGTGATCCTGTATACCAAATAAGAGTCTTGTATCTTGTGGAGCTTAGTTATGGCAATTTACTTGTTTTTGAGTAATGGCTTTTTGTGGGCGTGGCAGTGGTCCGATTACGCCTATCTGCAATACCAACCGTCTTACGGTACCAAGAAACATGTGTACCAGGTTTATAAAGATATCTAAATTTTTTACTTAAATTACAGCTTGCACAGACGGACGGACGTACAGACAGTCACCCGGATTTCGACTCGTCTCTTCATCCTGATGATTTATACCGTTAGGAGAACAAAACTATTATACTCTGTAGCAACATGTTGCGATAGTATAAAAATGAAACATAATTTTATATGCGGATGATACGTTAATTAATTAATAAAAGAATAATTAATTAAAATGGTGAAAATGAGAAAGTGTCGAGATAAAATTTTAAGTGATATAGAGTTAGTCAGTAGTTGGTTAAAAATTAACAAACTTAAATTAAATGAAGAAAAGATTAAAATGATTTATGAAATTTAATGTCGCTTTTGAATTTAAAATAAACCATATAATAGAAAAAACATAGAGTATAAAAATGGAAACCAAAGGAAACGAAATTAGTCTGTCGGAATGAAAAATTATTATTAAGTTGTGGAAAGATGGAAAGTTTCAGAAATATTGGTTAAACTATTGGAAGAACGTATTCTTCTGTCCAGCGCGTCGTTATCACAAAAATGAAAATAGGAATATACATTTTTGTTTTTGCATTTTGAACTTAAAAATATAAAGAAGAAATACATGTAGAAAATTTGAACTGAATTACCCGTTTATATTCTGTTTTTACTTCACTTAAAAAATAGTGTCGGGTGAACGCAGACTTTATTGGCTATGTGTATATACCAGATACAACCGATTATTCAGATTCTTTTCCGGTATAACGTTTCAAGTAAAAGGCTAAGAGCTCGTAATTTTGCAGAATAGTCCTATAATATATAATATACTCAACAATGACAGTGAAAATCAAGAAATTTTATAAAGTTGATCCCGTATTCGAAAAATATTTTCCATTTTACATGCGTTCTAAACACATCAACCGCCTCTTTAGCTGTCGAAAAACGTTAGTTTATTTTTTTTTGTACGTGAATAAAAAGAAGTCATTTGATGCCAAGTCAAGACTATACAGTGAAGGACTCATCAAATCGATGTTTTGAGTGCTCAAAAATGCAGTTGTTTCAGTCGATGTGTGAGAGCTCGCATTGTCGCGGTGAAGAGCTATCCGTTATTGACGGTTGGTTTTCTGGATTTTTTGAAAGCCAACTGGCAAACAATAAGTTGTATACCATTCAGAATTTACTTTTCTACGTTGTCCTAGTGGTATGGTTGCGACATGTCAAGTTTTTCCAAAAAACGGGCAGCGATTTGCTTGAAAATGTTTCGAACAACTTTTGTTGGATATGAGACGAATCCGAACACCCATACAGTCGACTGCTGTTGACTTTCGGGCTAATATGCGTAAGTCCACGATCTTTCACCTGTCATGATGTCATAGACGTGTTTTGAAGCACCGCTATCGTATTTTTTTTTTTTACATTTCTCTCGACCAATCAACACGAGCCTTTTTTTCAGCGATTGACAAATTGTGAGGGATCTAACGTGACAATTTTTTTTTACAGTCAAATGTTCATGTAATATTGAATGTATGCTGGTCCCACAAATGCCTATAGTTTTCTCTATCTCACGATAGGTCACATGACGATCTTGCAATATCAGTTCGTTCACAGCATCAATAGCTTCCGGAACAACTGATTTTGGACGTCCTTCACGAAATACGTCTTGGAGTGATCTACGACCTCGATTAAATTCACCATATCATCGATAAACACTGGCTATCGGTCGAGCTTCATCGTCAAAAATTGAATTAAGTTCATCGATGCACTGTTGCTAAGTTAATCCACGTTGAAAGTTGTAAAAAAGTAGAAGCGCGAAAATGTTCGCGATTCAATTCCATTTACTGGCTGAGATGAATATTTTAAGTTACTGTAAACAACACAAATAGCATTCGTATTTCAAAACGTTCTGAATATGTATAACATTTGTGATAAAGTTGTAAATTGCCAGTTTGCAAATCTAGGGTTGCCAAATCCCGAAATATAAAAGGCAACCTACGTATGCTATAGCTGTCCGAATTTTAGTCTAAACTATGGGCTTAATTCCCGCAACAGAGGACACCAGATTCCAATATGGAAAGTTGAAACACGGTCTTTTGTGATACAAATACTCTTCAGTATGGATCAAAATACCATCATGTTTCGATGAAGCGGTTTGAGCCTATCCGAAATTTGTTGAGGGTACTAATACCAATTCTAGTTGGTTGGCCCGATTCAATAAAGGCAAGACATGACATGTTTCAACTTAATTCTAGCAAAAGCTGGACAGTCTAGAAAAAAATGTCTTGCGTTCTTCAAGATTTTAAACCTCTTCGCATTGTATGTTTATTTGACAGTGTCCGATTAGAACTTCTACCATTGCGACATGATGAACATAGGTAAAGAACAAGTAGTGCAGTAGACCAAAAGAAATTGAAACGAAGGTGTTCTTCATCTTCCTTGCTTCAATCATCATATCTTATTCTATAGAGCCAGCAGGTTTCTCCTATGACTCTCCTGTGACTTCCGATAGCAAGGCCTGAAGTGTTTTCACTACTAGCGTAAGGAGAGTTTTTGGGCGATAGGACTCCCCTAGATTGGCAGGCTTCCCAGGTGGGACCACCCTTCTGATTTTCTACACATCTGTAATGTGAAGAATGGTTAGTGACAGGTTGAGGATCGTGGAGAGATAACTTACTTCCGTCGAGACTAGATGTTTTACTCTCCTCTGAACCTCCTCGTCGGTGACCGGGCAACCGTCGGGTACCACATTTTCCGGCTCTTCCACCGTTAAGTGCAGTATGAATTGTCGGCTGAAATAGCTCCCGAACTTCTTCGAGTCCGAGGAGGTACGACCATGGAATTGGCTTTCGACACGACATAATTCCGGTGGGGCTTCGTCGTTCATTGTGCAGAATGTCGAGTCATCTATCTGTTTCGCCAGATCCATCACTCTACGATCGTTTGACAGAGAGGAGTGGCAAAGATCATGGTACGCGTTAAAGACGCCAAGCAACAAGCGGCTCTCACCAAGATGGAGGAGACTTTTGACGCAAACACTGCCGAAAAATTTTTCTGGGCCAGAGTTGGACTCAATGCCAGTAATTTTCAGGAGGATAACGAGAAAACCTGCTGCTAGGTGTTGCTTTATTACTTATCGATCGAAACAGAGCTAGATCCACGGTCGTATGTGGAGTGAAGGAGTACAAACTATCAAACGTAATACCCGAATTTTTGGGGTTATTTACTGTCGAAAATTTGGCACCATCAACAAAAATGTTGATGTCTAGTTTGTTTTTCTTCGTCCAGTTGGAAGTCTGACCGCTGTGGATTGCGCAGGAGAAAGTTTTAAGCTCCTTGCAGTTAGAATAAGAAGTTATAAAGGGTCAATTTGATAGGCGTTCACTTTTGAACACTTGTAATGGATTTCATCTTACCGTTTCGTAGCACACTATCCAAAATGTCTACATTTCTCTTATAAAACAGATACCAACTGTTTTAAACTATTTACTATTGTTAAAATATTTTTATATATATGTTGCAGGGATAATGGGTTCTCTCTAGGCAGTATGGAAAAAGTTCCAATTTAAAAGAAAATTGTTTTTCCAGAAAATTATTTTATTTTATGAAAGTAAACCCTATATACCATTATTAAATATAGAACAGGAATAGACAGAAATTTGAAAGAAAAGGTTAATAATTTTCTATCTATCTATCTATGTCTATCTGAAGCTCCTTGAATTGATCATCACTAATCCTTGGAGACTCATCCAAAATCAATCGGACAAAAAAATTAGTTTTATTAATAATTATTCTAGTGCTCGATCGCATATTGATTTTTCTAATTAACTAAATGTCGGCCTCGGAAAATTTTTTTTCAGATTTTCGGATGAAACAGCAGTTAATTGTTTAAAAAAATGCGAAATTGAAAAAAATAAATCCTTCGACCAAGCAGATTTTCAAATAGCTGTATAAATTTCAATGAAATCTACCGAGCTGTTTTCGACCAAAAGTGGTCAGCAGGAAATGAAACATAGCTTTGAGAAAAACGTATTTAAGTTTAACACTTAACCTACCGGTTTCTAACAACTCGAAAAGAATTTGGCGGATTTACTTAAAAATATTTCTGAGATATTAGATGCAAAAAAACAGTTTCAGGTTTCAGTAACAAATAAATATTTCATATATATTCATATCTAAACAATTAAATTGCATGAATATATTATATATTTTAAAAATATCGTATGAGATTGATTTTTACGTATACATTTACATTTATCTTTCATTAATCTTATATTACTTAATATATACGATAATTTTGGCTTTTATTTCTTGTCATTCACAGGTGGAAAGTGGTGGTGCGAGAGTGGCGCAAGTTTCAGTCAGAAATTTTTGTTTTGAATATCTGACAAACAGTTAGCACTGGATGAAAAATATATAAGTTTTATTTGTATTAATACCAGAGTTTTGAATAGAAGAAAGTATTAAATTATTACCCGTTTCAACTAAAAAACATAAATAAAGTGTTAAAGATTGTTAAAACCAATTTTCAAAATTGATTTAAAAAATTTAAAATACCAAATTTATCAACAACGTCACCTTTTGGGAAATTGGCGGGAATCAATGAATACTACCACCATAAAACGACAAATAACGCGAACTTCATCTACTTCTTTAAAACCGGTGCACTATAAAAGGATTGAATAATCGTTATACTATATAGATTACAGTTATGTAAGTACCTGTGGTACGAAAACGGGTCTATTGAGCGCTGGTCGTTTAAAAATTGTTAAATAGATTAACGAAAAGAAATAAGTAGAAGTTCTAGAATTAATATCCATTTATATGTATGTATATATAATATTTATATAAGAAAAAACAGCTTTCTTTAAAGTCAGAGGAAAGGACACCAAAAATCAAAGATATATATGTGCATATATATGCACACAAACATCGTCAGAAGCAACATTTAAAACATTTTTTACAACAATAACATGTCTGACCTTGGCAGTGGCGACGAAGGCATTTCTGGCTCAAGTAAGTTGTATATCAACTCTCCGTATAAGTGCAAATGTGTAAAATTTATATTACTTAATAAATCTCACTGCAAGGTATCCTCGCGTCCAGGCAACCTTTTAAAACAAAGGTGAAAGAACTAAGCCGAGGAAACACTTTCAAGTGTTATTTATAAAAAAATTTGCGTTAGAGTTCAACATGCTTTTATTAATTACAAACAACTTTTGTATCTTTTTAAATTATATAATACTAGCAGACCCAATTTATTTATTTCTTAGTTTTGTATATTCACTATTTCCACTACAGTATAATTCAAAATGAAAGATAATTTTAAAATTGTATCTCTGAAAACTCTAAATTACCTAAACAAATTTATAGGTTAGGATAGTGATATAGGTTAGAAAAATTTTATGAAGAATTATGTAAAATATGTACTTCGAAACAGTAACAAATTTCAAAATAAATAGTTTTAAAATGAATATCCGTAGTAATATTGTATATTCGGTATATGAGGAAAAAATCATAATATTATATTATATTAGAGATATGAAGTTTAGGTAAAGGTCAAGACCAATTTGATTCACATGCAACACTAAACCATATTATTTTTTGAGAAATCTACTTAGTATCCTTAAGATATTATATACTCGGTATAAACTCAACCGGAAGTCCAAAAACCTTTCTATTCGGTATAAGGGAGCCTAAGGAAGAAAGAATGCTCCTGACTTTCATTAAGAGACCTCGCAGCTTGACCGAAATTTTCGGTAAAAATCAACCATGAGGTCCACTTGTATCTTCTGATCTGATCGGTATCTGAGGACTTGACGGGTGTTTGTGTCACCTAAAACTAATCAAGATAGATATAGAGTTATATATATTTATATATATATATATATATAATATAAATGAACAAGACAAGACGAGTTAAAATCCTGTCCGTCTGGGTAACTTGTGTAAAAATTTAGATATCTTGAGGAAACTTGGTACACATGTTTCTTGGCAGCGTAAGAAGGATGGTATTCATGTATGGATAATCGGACCACTGTCACGCTCACAAAACGCCATTAAATAAAAACCTATAATGTGCCATAACTAAGCTTCACAATAAGATACAAGGCCGTTATTACAAATTGCATAAAGGGCATCTATCTAGTATACTTGACCGATATAAACCAAACCTGGAAGATAATATTATCTTGACATTCCTACATTAAAGTGTGAAAACAAGCGAAATTAGACGAAAAATTTAAATTCCATCTGTTTTTTTCACTCTCCAGTATACAAATAAAGAACCAATCCGGACAAAACTGCAAAAATAGTGCGGTGTGGCACCGTATGGCCAAAAATTGCCATAATAGGACCAAAACTATTCAATATGTGAACCCCAGTTCCATTTGCGATCTTCTTATCGAAAATATCGGTCAATCTGTGAGATATATTATAGAAATTCGGATCAATAATTTCCTTAGCCCGCATATACCTAATAGAAAGTTTTTCGAACTTTCGGCTGACTTTATACCGCATGTATCGGCAAATATGTAAGATATCTCAAAGAATTGAGACAGCGTATTAATCTGATAACGGTTCATCTTAGTGCCTAAAATGGATAAAATCGGGAGAAAACTTGCGTTAGATCCCATATACTCAATACCAGGTAGTTCAAACATCTAGTTGACGCTATACCGTATATATTGGTGATGGTATGAGAACTACCTTAATGAAATTCAGAGAGCATGTTTTTCTGTTAATAATATGAAGTGATGCCAAACATAGATAAAATCGGGTCAATACTACTCCTATCTCTTATATACCTAATATAAAATATTCAACCTTTGCTTTGTACCGTATATATCGGTCAATATGTATGATATCGTAGCAAATTTAACTGAACGCATAATATTGGATATACAAGTATGTACTATAGTTTCATTCCGAATATGTGAAATTGGTCCACGAATTACTATATACATAATGATTTTCATTATTCTAACAAACCATACGCCGAATATGTCGGTCAGTGTATGAGTTATATATTTATAAAATTGCTCAAAAATATGTTCTCGAGTATACCTGAGGAATGTCAAAAAATTATGCAATCAGCCGAGACCTTTTCTGTCCCCAAAACACCCTATATAGTGATTTCCCACTCTCCATCTGTCTTTAAACCTTTAGGTTGATAAAATGTGAAATTTTAGTGTGTAGACTTTCTTAAAAAATATGTGGTTTAGCGCTTAATATGAATGGAATTGGTTTAGACCTTGATCTAAATCTCATTTTTCTAATGTAATGAATTCCGATGCTCTGGTTGACGTTTTGCACATCAACTTAATACATTAAATTTAGACCCTTCGATTGAGTTTATGTTACATATGGCTTAGTTGAGGATAATTTATATATAAATTTCGCTGTCGAGAAGTAAAATATAGTTAGAAAACTGCTTTATTCTATAACGTATAATATAAGTTAATAAGATATAAATTTGATTATAATCCATCCATTCACGATTTCATCGAACAATGAATATTTAACTCTTTCGCTACATTTTTTAATATGAAATTTTGCCAACACCTGAAGGTTTATCCCCGTCTTTGAACTTGACAAGTTGCAAGAGTATGAAATGTTCGGTTATACCCGAAATTAGTTCTTCTTTACTTGTTGAACGTTAAATCGTATACTTCAAATACACTTTGTGTGGAAAGTCTTATTTCGATAACGTCATTGACTCGCAATTTACCATATGTACTGTATAGGGAAAGAATCATATGGAATTTTAAATTGTGATGTATGGGAAGTAGGGGTCATTCTCCAATTTCGCCCATTTTCACACTGTAATAAATGGATACAAATGTAATGTTACGCACCAAAATTTATTGTAATTAGTTGAGAAGTTCCTGAGTTATCTAATTTCTCCTATAGGTGGACGGTGTCATACCCATTTTCTAATTTTTACAACTCAACTCTTAAAACGGTTAAGTTCCATTTTAGGTTCAAAATTTTATGCTCATCACGGATTTATTAAGGAGGTTATCGCACTATTGAAAACTGCTAATCATAGCTGACCATTCGTCCAGGTTTGATAGGGACAGTCCGGATTCCGTGTTAAGCGTCCCGGGCTTAGAAAAAAAGAATGAATTAAATAAAATTGTGTTGCTCTCTCATCTATTATATGTCGCGATTTTCAGTGAATTATAATATGGAAACAATGGATAACTAAAAAAACCGTCCCGGATTTTGCCGGGACAAATATGGTCACCTAATGCTAAACATAACCGTTATATGGGGAGGTGTCAAAAGAATTCCTTTAGAAAGTTTGGTCGATATAGCTTATATTGTTTGTGAGATATGTACATTAAATTTATTAGGAGTCGAGGCCATGCACGTATTATAAAAATTTTCAGCATTAAGATTGCCCTCATTACAGGTGCGGTCTAATACTTTATTAAATTTTATTGTATGAAAATTGAAAATTAAAAAAATAAATATTCTATTTTTCGATTTTGTGGACTAAACTTTTTTCTTTGCGGTGTTTGGGTTTAAAAATTTGTTTGTTATTTTTAAATCCGGTATTTCGGTTTAAAAATTAAAAAACTACCGCAATAGTCCGGGTCCGCCCATCTGCAATATCAACCAAAAAACACGTGTTCTATATCTATCTCGATTTGTTTCAGGTGTAACAAATAACCTTTAGGTGAACAAAACTATTATACTCTGTAGCAACATGTTGCGAGAGTATAAAAATTCGAAAAATGAGCAAGCACATTGCTCTTGTTTCTCCACTTAACCTTAGCTATGTTACTTAATAAATCTACCAACTGTGAAGAATTCACATAGTTTGTGTACTCAATTTTTAACTGGCCACTCTTAAAATACTTAATATTTGAATAATTCGAACAGTCGTCGACCAAGATCCTTACTTTTCCCAGAAGTTTATCAGAGACATACCCTTCTTAAAGCACACATTTACTTTTAAGGAAAGATAAATATTTAAATTTATTAAATTTTATTGTATGAAAATTAAAAATTAAAAAAATAAATATTTTTTTTACGATTTTTCGATTTTGTGGACTAAACTTTTTTCTTTGCGGTGTTTGGGTTTAAAAATTTGTTTGTTATTTTTAAATCCGGTATTTCGGTTTAAAAATTAAAAAACTACCATATGTATACTCTTGCAACATGTTGCTACAGAGTATAATAGTTATGTTATATATATATAAATGATCAGCATGAAGAGACGAGTTGAAATCCGGGTGACTGTCTGTCCGTCCGTCCGTCTGTCCGTCCGTCTGTGCAAGCTGTAACTTGAGTAAAAATTGAGATATCTTTATGAAACTTGGTACACATGTTTCTTGGTACCGTAAGACGGTTGGTATTGCAGATGATCGGATCACTGCCACGCCCACAAAACGCTATTAATCAAAAACAAATAAATTGGCATAACTAAGCTCCGCAATAAGATACAAGACTGTTATTTGGTACACAGGATCACATTAAGAAGGGGCATCTGCAGTTAAAATTTTTTTTAAGTGGGCGTGGTCCCGCCCCTAATAGGTTTAATGTGCATATCTCCTAAACCGCTAATGCTATAATAACAAAATTCACTGGAAGCAAATGTTTTTAGAACCTACAGTGTGAAAATGGGTGAAATAGGGTGGCAACTTTGCCCACTCCCCATATAACGGTACTGTTAAAACTACTAAAAGCGCGATAAATCAAGCGCTAAACACGCCAGAGACATTAAAGTTTATCTCTGGAATGGTATCAGATGACTTTATAGGAACCGCGATCAAAATTATATAGTGGGCGTGGCACCGCCCACTTTTAGGTGAAAACCCATTTCTTGGGATCTGCTTAACCGATTTCAAACAATTAGGTGCATTACATTATTCTCATATTTCTATGTTATAGTGCAAAAACAGCGAAATCGGATTACAACCACGCATACTTCCCATATAACACCATTTTAAATTCCATCTGATTCTTTGACTTTCCACTATGCAAATCAGGCAACAATGACTGTATCGGGATAAAACTTTGCGTGAATAATGCTATTAAAGTATGCCACCTTGTGGCCAAAAATTGTCTAAATCGAACCAAAACTGTTCAAGCCCCTAGGTACTGAATATGTGGACCACAGTGCCTATAGTTGACCTTCTACCGAAAATATCGGTCAATCCACAAAGAAATCTCAGCGAGTATACCATTTGACTTTGCGAGAGTATAAAATTTTCGGTTACATCCGTACTTAGCCCTTCCTTACTTGTTGATAATGAGATTTTAAACAGCGAATTTCAAATATTTAGATGTGATCGACTGAACAGAATCGGAGGAGGTGTTCTATTTGTACATTCCTCTATCCCATATGAAGATGTTCTCGTTCCAGGAACCGACTCATTTGAATTGAAATGTCTTCGTTAATAATTGCTTTATTTATCTAACCCTATCTTATATACCACCCCATTTGGACTTATCTGTATACATGCAGCGTGCTTCTTTAATAAATAGTGATACCTCGTTGGAAAATAATGCTGATTCAATAATCGTTTTAGGAGATTTCAATTTTTCGTGGGCTTCGTGGAAAGCTTTCGATGACTATATAGTACCGATCTGCAATCGGTCATGTTTTAATGAGTTTTTAGAAAAAATTTCCGAGTTGGGTCTGAACCAAATTTATTTGATTCCGAATAAATTTGGTAAATGCTTTGATTTAGTATACGTTAATACCTCTTCAAAGTGTTCCGTTATTCAGAGTAATCCTCTTGTTCTACCAGAAGACTCGTATCATCCTGCTTGTGGACAATTCTCAATATTCTGTATTGCGTCGACAATATTTTGACCTAAACAAAAAATGTTATAATTATTACTTAAATAAAGTAAACAAGAATATTGTAATTAATCCAAAATCGTTTTATGATTTCGTCAACTCCAAACCCAGGATTTCCAAATTTCTGTCCGCGATGAAATACAAATCTATTATTTCAAGTGACAATGATATTATATCCAATATGTTTGCTGAATTTTTCAAGTCAAACTACTGTAATAATTCTTCTAAAACTTTTTCCTATCAGCACTGCTGTGTTCTAATACTTTAATTAACGTTCCAATTATTTCTGAAGAATACGTCCTATTTAATTTATATAAGTTAAAACCTTCTTTTAGTTACGGCCCAGACATGATACCCTCATGCTTCCTAAAAAATTGTGCCAAATATATTTACTTGGCTTTGACCAGGATATTTAATTCCTCCCTTAAACACGGTATATTTCCTTCAATATAGAAACAGTCATTTATAATTCCTTTGCCTAAAAGTGGATTTAGGTCCAATATTGAAAAATATAGAGGTATCGCAAAACTATCAGTTATACCTAAACTTTTGAAAGCTATCATCACTCACCATATAACTGCATCATCTCAGCATGGATTTCGTAAAGGGAAATCGACTCTAACAAATTGCTTGACTTTATAAACCATGTATCATTGGGTTTTAGGTAACATAAGCACACGGATGTTATATACACAGACTTTAGCAAGGCTTACGATAAAGTAAATGTCTCGATTCTCATACATCAACTTGATCTGCTGGGCTTTTAGCCAAGTTTTCTCCAATGGGAAGCTTCTTATAGTTATAACAGAACACAACGAGTGACATTAAAATCCTGTAATCGTTGGGTTATTATATACTTCATACGAATTTAGAAACGAAGCAACGATAACAATGCAACAACTTGGAAACGACAACGGAAATAGGGCCGAATATATTATTGGTCATCGAATCTTTGTGATTTTCAAACAAAATTTTTGATCGAACCAGAAAACATGTCTTCAGCACTATAGCAAATAGTAGACGAATTTGGAGTTAAATGCTGCTTCAGCAAGCATACTGTCCCAATGATTTTCATCTTCTAGCAAATCTAGTGCAAGGCATGCATCAATATACGTTAGATACTGTTGTCCATTTCTTTACGTGCGAGTATATCTTGAAATGACATTGGTCCGGTAACATTAACAGTCGCAGATTACAGCACTCAATCTTCCTTGGATTGACTATATGTATGTACACGACCCAAATTATTTAATTTAAATGCACCGGAATATCAATTTTTTCGGTTGAGCCCATGTAAAATAGTGTGGTTTCAATGGATTTATAGCACGTTCAATTGTTATTTCGTTCGGAAAAAATGCGCGTTTGCCGCTCGTTTGTTCGAGATACACAAAGAAATAATGCTAAGTTCACTATGAGAATTAAATTAACTTATGAGATGCAAAATTATAAGTATAACAGTCACTGCTATGATCGTGGCTCAAATAAAACCAAAAGAAAATAAAGGAACACTGTATTAAGATTGTGAAAAAGGAAGCTTCGTTTTCATCCATACTCCGTGATGTTGGCTGGTTGAGAAGTGACAACGGGAGACACATGGCGGGGATAACTGATTAGTTGACAGAACTTCACATGCAAATTATAGAATACCACAATTTTTATATCCGATTGAATGTTGTGGATCTGTGAATGGAACAGAATGATATTTTAAAACGCGATTAAAAATCAGGGGATGATCGTATAAGATTGAATATTTAAAATTGTATGTATCTTTCAACGCTGAACATGCTGTTGGAAACAAAAAATAACAAGAAACAATTTGGGCTGGACCACACTTAATATTTAGGGGTATAAAAAATAGATTCTCAGACCTATTCGGTAAGCCCACCAAATCTCACCAAAATTAGAACAGCCGTTTCGGAGGAGTTTGGCAACAAACACCGTGACACGAGACATGTTTTATATATTATATTAGATATATGTTATAATGTTTACTTGGACTACAAGGCTTCTTATAATGGTTAAAAATCTATTTAAATATTACATTGTAACGTTTGTTGTCATAAATACTGCTTATGAGAGTGATTACATTAATTGTTGTTGTTTACGTGTACTTCATGAAATTGCCCTGTCTGGAAGAACATACTAAATATAATAATCAACCTACAAAAGGGAAAGGAAAATTTTGAAAAGTTACGATATAGTTTTCTATATGGTCTTAATTTAGTTCGGTACATTTAATACAGCGAAGGGCCAACATCTTTAACTCTAATGATTTAACATTTTCTGAAGGGCTTCAAAGTAGGCTTTCTTGGCGGCGACCCTCATAACCTTCGCATATCTTTTCACTTTACTCAAAGTGCTGCTCGGCGAGTGACTTTATTCTGTTTGCAAAAAAGAAATCTTACTGGGCTAACTCTGGAGAATACGGTGGTTGGTTGTAGCAGTCGGTGCCTAAATCGACCAATTTGGCCGTTGCGATAACTACTCTGTTGTGTACCAGTGGATTCATGCTTCATCGCGGGTCGCGAAATGGCCCCACGTTACGTTACCCTTCGTTGTAGTCGCCTTCGGGATAACTGGGTATGGTTCATCCTAAAACGGACGTGCGGCCATATTGAAACTCGTCAATATATGACGGTCGTTACCGAAAGAAAAAAGTCGCCATATATAGAATCCAGGTGCTCTTTGAATTCACTGCACCTTTTCTCTTTAAAAAGCAAAACTCAAACCACCTATTTTTCGCGGCCACGCCCGTTCTGGTAATGTAACTACATTTAATTGATTTTTGGTATATCAACTGCTTTCTATGAATTTGTTATATACCAGATTTTCGTTTTTAATGTGTAAACTAAGATGTTCTTTGCGGTTTTACTCTGATCACATTTCTTTCATAAATACTGAAAATATCAACATTTTTTCAATCATAGATGCCATTCTCTAATGCAAGTCGTTGTAGCAAATAGCATCCTTGTATCTTATTATGTAGCTTAGTTATGGCACTTTATATGTTTTCGATTAAGGGCGTTTTGTGGGCAAATATTCAATTACGTCCATCTGCAATAACAACCCTCCTTGGGCGAAAGGGAACATGTGTACCAAGAAGATATTTAAATTTTTACTCATCTTATCGCTTGCACGGACAAAACTATTATGCAACATGTTGCAAGAGTATATAAACAAATTTTACAATGATAAATTAATTAATAATTCAAACAAAGGCATTTTTGGTTCTATTGTGTCTCAGCTCAATCTCTTTTTTTCACGAATTCATCTGAATTAGAAATTAAATTATTTTAAATGGGTTTTATAATTTTTTTACAACATATATCTTTTATATACTTTCATTTCATTTTAATTTATCTTTTTTAATGTAGAGCGGAAATACTTAAACAATGTGCAACTTTTGGGACTTTGCGCAAAGAATGGCGTTCTTGGTATTTCACAATTTCTCGAAACCCCTATGAGAATGTGTTTTGTCTCTTTTTGACGTATACATAATTTGCTTTTGGAAAAACCGTAAACATTGACAGTAATTTTATTGTCATCATTTGATTGTCAGTGGTGAAACTACTCAAGAATTCAGCTATTTCATTCTTACTTATGTAAAGCTATAGTAAGCAACAAAGGTCGTAAGTGTCTCTTTTTAACAATAACAGTATCAACAGTAAATTTTTTGTTAATTGGTCGTCACCTCTGACATAATAAATGTGAGTGTATTGGTGAAACAGCAGTTTCTTGTAGGGTAGTATTGTGGACTTTATGCCAAATACATCGATCAATGTGTGAGTAATCATAATCAGGGGTGATGTAGAATCTGATAGCTGCCGGAATCAGAATTAAAACCAACAAAAAAATGTGTAGGGTGTCATGAATTCAGATATTATTGGTTTGACGTTTGAAACAGAAATTGTATCGGTTTTGGGTGTCACGGAAACCAATTTTATCGGTTATGTTATCAGAAGCAAAGCAAGAGGACAGTTTTGAAATGTAAGTTAAAAAATTAATTTATATTATTGTTACGATTTAATTTATCTTTATTTCTATAGGGAAAAACATAAGAATGAAACACAAAATGTCATAGTTATTGAGTTTATGGAAAAATTCAGTTATTTCAAGAAGATATACAAAACGTAATTTAGCACCCTAATGCGTATTTTTTTAGTCGATGATGTGATTTAAATCTGTAAAGCAAGCCAAATTTCACATGCGATTCCCTTGGTGCATCAAGTGGATTACTGTGATCTCTTAATTAATATCTTCTGTTTAATTTTTTCGTTGCTTTTTTCTTCCAATAAAATAAATGCTAAAATAGCGGAACTCATTGTAAACTTTAGTAGTCTTTATTCAGTATTTCAAATTTATCAAACGCTTTTTATTAATTTGCAGATTTTGTCACATTCGATTTTTCTCAACTTATACACAATATTTCCCCGCCTGCTGCCACTCAACATTTTGCATATTATTGCTGTAGAGAATTACAATGGCTTTTCAACAGAAAACCGTTTGGTTATTTGTGCAATCTCTTTACATTCTTGCTTATTGAAATGAATTTAGCAGAACACAAAGATAGTTGGTTTTCTGTAGAATAAAGGAAAAAGTGGTAAAGACCTTTGCTACGAATTCCATGAAGCTGATGCATAGGTCGCCAAGTCATGCTTTTTATTAGATCAGTTATATCAGATGAACTGCTGCATTTTTCTATAACACATTTAGTTATTCTTTGTACAGAGTGAGCTGTCCTAATATTCTACGTGTTTTTTTTTCTAACCGATCCAAACCGGGTTAAATCCTCGAAATAACAGTACTTGGCCGGATAAAATCCGGCTCAATTACAGCAACGTAAAACTGAATGTTCTAGGGATTGGCTCTATTACCCATTGATTATTATTTCTCATAAAACTTATATTAAATTCTGTTTTTTTTTTTAATTTGAATATATACTTTAATTTATTTGTTAATATATACTATATATACATAATATATATAATATAATTAAATATTTCAGAATACAATGCAAGCGGCATGGAAGGCACAAGTGGAAGAAGTGACTTCGATTCTGCAGGCAAAGGTGAGTGTACATTGACTAATTAACCACTAGTTGTAATGACCAAAATGCTTGATTCAGTAAATAAAGGGGGCAAGGAAAACTGTAGATTTTTTGTATTTTTCAGCAATTTTGGTTTGAGATTCCTACCAGAGTTGCAACTCTGTAATTTTAATTTGTACCAAAACATTTAGCAAATGAAATTTTGTCTAAAGTTTTCAATTTTATTTGGTATTATTATGTATGTATACTTATACAAAATTTGAAGACGAAAAATTCTCATTTCCGTCTCCATATTTGGGTATTGCGTCCACTTAACCCTTATGTTAGTAACTGTGTATTGTGTGAATAGCTTAAAGAAAATTCAGTATTTCATTTTAAGCTCTCAAATCGTCGTTTTTTAACTTAAAAGAAAGCTATTTGTGAGTTCATTTAATTGATTTTTTTTTTTTTAAATAAGCTTAAACTCTAGCCATCGCCCTATTAACAACCGGGTACCCGGGTACACAGTGGAAAGCATAAGCAGAAAATTTTATATAATTTCTATTAATGCATGCAACTAAATTTTATTAAAAAAATAAAGAAATATTACACTTTTTTTATAATTAATGACATTGAACACATTGTACACGATTAACTGAATGCTCGTCACACACAGGTTGGTGAAAATTGGCACAGGCGTTACGTGTCTTTCGCCGTCTTCTTATTGGCAAAGCATTGCTGACATGACAAGATCCTGTTACTTTTTTCCTTCTGGTTTTATCTTTTGGAGCCTCTGGACCAGGATTTATCACGCCTGTGTCTGTCAGTATATGGCCTAATACACTTTCAATGGCAATCTTTGTTGAGAAGTGGCGCATTACTTGTGGATTCGCCGTGCGATGTTCAATCATCGGCAATGCTAGTTCTTCACTTAGTTTACGCATAAATTGACGACGTTCTGTCGTTTTTTTGACCATTTGGTCCATTGTGTCAAGTCCAGCTTTATATTTATTATAAAAATTTATTATTTCTGGTTTTCGTTGAGCGTCATCACCAACTGATATATCTGAATGCATTGTAGATATCAGAATGACAGCTTTATTTTTTTTAGGAACGTAGGAACACATGGTAACCTTTTCGTTAAATCCAAAAACTGTCGAATACTGCTCCCTTGTCTTATTTGCTCCCATAACACTAGGGATGTAAGGTTTATTCTTTTTTAGCGTGCAACAATGGTAATATTCCACGACAACAAATGTTTAGCAACTGGTACAGTAGTAAAGAAGTTATCCATGCAGATGTTTCTACCACTACCTCGGTACGGAGCCGCCAATTCTTTCACTACTCTTTCACCTTGATTTTTTTCTCGAGTATTATCTGTTTTACCAGTGTACATAATCCCTTGCAAAGGATATGCGTTTTCTGCATCATAAATCCACCAGATCTTTATACCATATATACCTGGTTTCAATGGAATATATTGAGTAAATCCAGTACGGCCACGGTATGGATAAAGCTGTTCATCAATCGTCAAGTTAGCTGTTGGTTTGTACATCTGAGCTAAATTTGAATTCAACATTGTCCACACATCACGAATTGGAGCTGCCTTGGTTTTTAACTTCCCGCTAAGAAAATTGAAAATTTTCCAAAAATCGGGAAGATATTGGTTTCACCCCATTTTGCAAAAATCGAGTTCTCAACAGATCTCGACGTTTTGAGGGTCGAGGAAGCTTCCCCGAACATTTCTACGATGATGTCCGTATGTCTGTATGTATGTGTGTGTGCGTGGATGTATGTGACCCTCTTATAACTTTTAAACGGCTCAACCGATTTGAATAAACTAAACGGCATTCCAAAGGGTTTCATTGCACTTGAATTTCGTGTGAGTTTGGACCCAATCGGACCAGTAGATTTTGAGAAATCTTAAAAATAAAAATTTTGAAAAATCGTTTCTTCCAAACGACTTGACCGATCGACACCAAAAACTAATCAGTTCTAAACCTTGAAAAAACACATCGTTTGCCGCAAACCGGGTCAAAATCGGTTGATTTACTTGCGAGATATCGAAAACGAAAAATTTCGAAGAGCTCAAAAGCAGTGAAAAAAGCGAAATTTGAACGTTAGCGTATTAAATTAGAGGGAAGTTGCAGGGATGGCCCTTGAGGCCAACCGTTTTCCACATTTTTTTTTTTAAGTTCACTTCAAGTATTACCATCGTCGAATCGCAAATATTATTGAATCTCGTCAATCCCATCGTCGCACGATACATCGGATAAGAATTGTAGTGCCACATGTCAAATGTATGATCTGTATTCGAATTATTTGCTCCAGCACAAATCAAGATACCGAAGAACGAATAAATTTCGGGTATCGTAACGGGCTTTCATTGATGCTGTAGTTTGGATGGTTAACATTGTACTGTTGGAAAATTGTTTCAGCTTTTTTATTAGTGTGACGGACGATTATATCAACCATTTCGTAGGTAAACATTTTTTTTTAAATCTCGCTAATTGACAACGTCTCCGTACTGCGATAAGGCCCTCCGCTGGCGTACAACATTATGAGCTGCGGTCTGATGCTTAGTTGGTGGAGTTTTGTTCCACACTGTTTTATCTTTAGCAATAAAACTCCCAGATGTTCCTTGAGCTCTTCCTGAAATAATAATAACAACATTAATTAATTATTTAAGAAAAAGAATTATTATTTCAATCATTCAATAAATCAACTTCTTCTTCTGACGCTGAATTCTCTTCAGCGATTTCTTCTGTATATTCAGAATCTTCTGGTTCGTCACGCACTGAATTACCTTGTTGATTTTGATGTCTAGCTTTATTTGCTGGAATCCAGTCTTCGTCATCGCTATTAGAAACCCTACTTGAATCACTGTCTTGTTCCCCAAGTACTTTCCTCAAGTTCTCATTCCTTTCGATTGCACTTAACCTAATAAATTAAATATTTTGTGATATACGTCGTAAATAATTATAATTATATTATTATTATATAATTGTAATTAAAATATAATATTTATATGATCCCACCAAAAATCTGTTACATACTAAACAAGTAAAGGGAGTATAAAATGTCCGTATGTAAAATGTAACCGGACATTTTATACTCTCGCAAAGTCAAATGGTATACTCGTTTGAGATTTCTTTGTGGATTGACTGATATTTTCGGTAGAAGGCCAACTATAGGCACTGGGGTCCACATATTTAGTACTTTGGGGCTTGAACAGTTTTGGTTCGATTTAGGCAATTTTTGGTCACAAGGAGGCATACTTTAAACGTAATATTCACGCAAAGTTTTACCCCGATATAATCATTGTTGCTTGATATGCATAGTGGAAAGTGAAAGAATTAGATGGAATTGAAAATGGTGTTATATGGGTGGTTGTAGTCCGATTTTGCCCACTGACATAGAAATATAAAAAAAGAACGTTATACACCGAATTTGCTTGAAATGGGTTAAGCAGATATATGGGTTTTCACCTAAAAGTAGGCGGTGCCACGCCCACTGTCTAATTTTGAACGCGGTTCCTATAAAGTTATCTCATACCATCCCAAAGATAAAATTTAATGTCTCTGGCGTGTTTCGTGCTTGATTTATCGCGCTTTTAGTAGTTTTTAACAGTACCGTTATATGGGGAGTGGGCGGAGTTGCCACCCGATATCAACTATTTTCTATGTCATAGTGCGAAAATGGGCGAAATCGGATTACAACCACGCCTATTTTCCATATGACACCATTTTAAATACCACTTGATTCTTTCACTTTCCACTATGCAAATCAAGCAACAATGATTATATCGGCGTAAAACTTTGCGTGAATAATACGTTTAAAGTATGCCACCTTGTGACCAAAAATTTTCTAAATCGAACCAAAACTGTTCAAGCCCCTAAGTACTAAATATGTGGACCCCAGTGCCTATAGTTGACCTTCTACCGAAAATATCAGTCAATCCACAAAGAAATCTCAAACGAGTATACCATTTTTTATACTCTCGCAACCTGTTGCTACAGAGTATAATAGTTTTGTTCACCTAACGGTTGTTTGTATCACCTAAAATTAATCGAGTTAGATATAGGGTTATATATATATAAATGATCAGGATGAAGAGACGAGTTGAAATCCGGGTGACTGTCTGTCCGTCCGTCCGTCTGTCCGTCCGTCCGTCTGTCCGTCCGTCCGTCCGTGCAAACTCTAACTTGAGTAAAAATTGAGATATCTTTATGAAACTTGGTAGACATGTTTCATGGTACCGTGAGACGGTTGGTATTGCAGATGGGCGTAATCGGACCACTGCCACGCCCACAAAACGCCATTAATCAAAAACAAATAACTTGCCATAACTAAGCTCCGCAATAAGATACAAGACTGTTATTTGGTACACAGGATCACATTAGGGAGGGGCATCTGCAGTTAAAATTTCTTTTTAAAAAGTGGGCGTGGTCCCGCCTTTAATAGGTTTAATGTGCATATCTCCTAAACCGCTAATGCTATAATAACAAAATTCACTGGAAGCAAATGTTTTTAGCACTTCTATTGACGGTGTGAAAATAGTTGAAATCGGGTGGCAACTCCGCCCACTCCCCATATAACGGTACTGTTAAAAACTACTAAAAGCGCGATAAATCAAGCACTAAACACGCCAGAGACATTAAATTTTATCTCTGAGATGGTATAAGATGACTTTATAGGAACCGCGTTCAAAATTAGACAGTGGGCGTGGCACCGCCCACTTTTAGGTGAAAACCCATATCTCGAGATCTGCTTAACCGATTTCAACCAAATTCGGTGCATAACGTTCTTTTCATGTTTCTATGTCATAGTGCGAAAATGGGCGAAATCGGACTACAACCACGCCTATTTCCCATATAACACCTTTTTCAATTCCATCTGATTCTTTCACTTTCCACTATGCAAATCAGGTAACAATGATTATATCGGGGTAAAACTTTGCGTGAATAATGCGTTTGAAGTATGCCACCTTGTGAGCAAAAATTTTCTAAATCGAGTCAAAACTGTTCAAGCCCCTAGGTAATTAATATGTTGACCCCAGTGCCTATAGCTGACTTTTTACCGAAAATATCGGTCAACATAGAACAAGGCGGCAAGATCCACAAAGAAATCTAAAACGAGTATACCATTTGACTTTGCGGGAGTATAAAATGTTCGGTTACATCCGAACTTAGCCCTTCCTTACTTGTTCCTTACTTGTTTTTTCTTTAAATTGTCACTGACTATTAATGTTTAAAGAAAAAAATTTGTCAGAAACAATTTTTTTTAATAAAATAAAGAAAATTTTGAATACACAGATCGGTTGCTAAAAGACGTCGGTAAAGTTGGTTACTAACATAAGAGTTAAACAACCACGATGAATTGGACACTTTATTCTAAAGTATTTCCAGATATTTAGTTATTATTTAATGCATTATGTTTTGAATAAATTGGTGCAAAATGAAAAATTCTTATAATAAAAAACAAAATTAATCTTTTCAACACTGTGGAAGTAAATTTCAAATTGAATTGTTAGTTTTTGATTGTACCATAAAGTCGTTATTATTATACCATGAATAATATATATTAATTTTGCGACGAAATTCGTAACACCTAGAAGGAAACGTCGGAGACCGTATAAAATGTACATATAAATAATCAGCCAGACGAGCTGAGTCGATTTCCGTCTGTCAGTTGATATGCGAACTTGCCCCTCAGTTTTTGAGATCTGAAATTGTACAGTTTCTTTTCTCCTCAAGAAACTGCTCATTTATCAACAAGTATATAGCTGCCATACAATCTGTCCGATCAAAAACAAGTTCTTGTTAGGAATATTTTGTATTTGTATTTGAAAATTATTGAAGCAAATTTCTTTTGAGTTTAAGAAACGAAATGAGAAAAGCTTATGTAGATCATACTTCATTTTTACCAATAATATTTAAAATTTTTAATTACATATAAGCTTTTTCTAACTCAATTTAATTCAGCCCTATTCGTTAAATAATATTCTTGGTTCAGCTAAAATAGATTCGATGGTTTTCACACACTAGTTTGGTGAACTGTAGCCTTCTCAACAGAACCGTATATTTTGGAGTACGTGACAACAGGACCATTTCTGATTACCAACCGTCTACCGTTGCATAGTTGAAGTAGATTCAAATTATGCTGAAGAATAATGGGTTAACCAATTTTCAACCGAAGCAATTGCAACTGTACGCGTTTATTTACGGTAAAGCGAAGTTTTTCAGCACTTCACCATAAGAACCAATGTTTAAGCAATCGTTAATCTCATTGGTTAAAGTAAAGCGAAAAATGAACGATCTGTCGGAAATCACCAAACAGTATTAAGACAGCACCACCGAAAAGTTCATCGTTGCCGTTTGAATCGTGTATTGTTCTGTCCAATGCTTCGTGAATGTTATTCAGTGATCCATTAAGGACTCGTATCAAATTATGATTGAACTTTTTTTCAACACTGCAACTATTCCGCTATTTTTATACTCATGCAACATTTTGCTACAGAGTATTGTATAATATGCATAAATGATTAGGATGAAGAGACGAGTTGAAACCGGGAAGACTGTCTGTCCGCCCGTCCATCTGTGTAAGCTGTAACTTGAGTAAAAATTGAGATACCTTGATGAAACTTGGTACACATGTTATTTGGCACCGTAAGAAGGTTTTTGGTTGTAGATGATAATCACCACAGACCACTGCCACGCCCCCAAATGCCATTAATCGAAAACCAATAAATTGCCATAACTAAGCTCCACTATAAGATACATGACTGTTCTTTGGTATAACGAATCGCAGTTTAAAATTTTTGTTAAAATGGGCGTGACCCCGCCCTCTAATAGGTTTAATAGGCATATCTCCTTAACCACTTAAGCTATAATAACCAAACTCACTCGGGACAAATGTTTTTAGCACCCCTACCGACACTGTGAAAATGGGTAAGAGCTAATGATAACCCCGCCCACTCTACATATAACGGTTTTGAATAAAACTTCTAAAAGTGCAATAACCCATTAAAAAAGTCAGAGACTTTGAATTTTACACATAGGATAGTACAATTAAGCTTTATCGGAGCAAATACAAAAATTGGACAATGGGAGTGGCACCGCCCACCTTTAGGTGAACACCCATATCTCGGGATCTACTTGACCCATTTCAACCAAATTTGGTAAATAATGCCTATGTTACAATTCAAAAATGTGCGAAATCGGATTAAAATGACTTGTTTTTCTAATAACGGCGCATCTGTGGGCCTAAAATGGATAAAAGCGGGTAAAAACTTGTTGGGGGGCTACCCATATAACTAATATCAGGATTTTCGAACATCCGGTTGACTTTATATTGGTGATGGTATGTTATGTTAGATATCTGAATGAAACTCAGAGAGCAGGTATTCAACCGGCTTTGTCCTTGCAAGTTGCAAGAGTATGAAATGTTCGGTTACACCCGAACTTAGCCTTTAATTACTTGTGTTTGTTACATGTTATGTTTGGTTTGTAATGAATGCCTGTGTGTAATTCGCCCTTCATCTATCAAAGTAGCCGCAAGCTCTGCAATGCTACTACCAATGCGATTCTCTGTTTCTTCTGTTGTGATATTAGAATTTTCTTACCGGTTTCACATGGTTCGTCCGGACAAACAGTTGCGTCAGTTGGGGTTTGTTATACCACGTTTAATGTAACGTTCCACGGGAACAGGATAAAAATCATATGTCCGTCTGCTAGTTCTAATCTACCTTTTCACCAATTTTCAGATACATCTCAGCTGTTCCCGAGTTAGAGATAGTGTAACTAACATCGCTTTCATTTAAATAATTTATGTAGATTGCTTTTAAATGTAGCATTATTTTTGTGGCAATAGTGGTAAACGTTTAAATACATATTATTTCATTTTATATTGATTTAATTATATCAGCTCAAGCCAGTGCACAGCAAGGCGAACAAGAATTGGCTACAAAAATGCTACAAATACAATCGAAACGATTTTACTTGGATGTGAAACAAAATCGACGTGGGCGATTCATCAAAGTCGCAGAGGTAAATGCATTAAATGAGGTACAACTTATTTATTACATTTTATTAATGTATTAATTCTAGATTGGTGCAGATGGCAGACGTAGTCAAGTTTATTTGGCTCTATCGACTGCCGCTGAATTTCGTGATCATCTTTCAACATTTAGCGATTATTATGCTTCTTTGGGTGAGTATTTGAAAATCATATCTATTTAAACATATATTTGAATACAAATGTATTTTAGTAAATTAGGGCCGTTATTGCTTAACCATAACTTTTTTGGCGATATGTTAAAAAATGGTTTTCTCAATATGTGGTTAGCAACCATCTGTCAGTTCTACCGAAAGATGGAGTTAGTTTCTAATCATAACATGAAATGACAGCTGTCAGCTGTAAAATCAATAAGAAAAATCAGCTGCACAGATGGCATTCAGATGGGGACTAATTTGTCGCTTATTATATTATGCAGATTTGCATACATCTGTATATATAAAAATAACGTGTCACCTTTTATCTCTTTAACTACTAAACCGATTTTAGTAAAATTTAAAAAAATGAAGAACAATTCATAAAAAAATATATTTTTAAACATAAGCATGTTTTCAAAATTGAAAAAAAAATAAAATGGAATTTACTGTAAAATGTTAAATGAAAAATTAATTTTTTCCACTGACTAAATTTGTATGAATCATTTTCTAAATTAAACCTTGTACTTAAGTTGAGATCCCTTGGATTCTTATACCGGCAATTACGTGTTCGCCTCTATTCGTACATAATATTTTCACTGTATTAAATAGTTTATTGTATATGTAGAAGTAGTTAATGTACATCATAGCCATAGAATCGAAGGACCGAATATACCTACTATCTATAATAAAATAAATCACTGAATGTGCTGCTAAGCGCAAGTCTCGAGAACAGCTGAACCGATTTCGCTAGATCTTTTTTTTAGAATATTGCTTGAAGTACGAGGTTGGTTCTTACACAGAGAAAAAACAAACGATTCGTAACATTATATATGTATGTATGTATATAAAAGAGAGTCGTGTTAGTTACATTATTTATAACTCAATAACGGTGGTTAAATGAGCTAAGCCTCAGTAACTAAACACACCACTCTACTCGGTAAAAACTGGCGCACCCTAATACTTCCCATCACATAATCACCAATACACCACAAATTGGAAAACATCATAGTCGATGACACCACACTCGCACTCAACACAATACCCCGTACCTGTACACTACCCAACTCAACAAAAAGGATGGACAAAAGGACAGCCGGGACTTTTCGCAAAACCACACTCGACCACTTAACATTCAACACGTCTCTGTTTCGGTGTGCTTCGGTTACTGCGATCGACATCACTCCGCAACCACTTTTCGATCATTCGCTTCAATCAACACGGATACTGTTTGCTGCTTTTATTCGTTTTTGTCGACAACAGCGATCCTGANCCCCGTACCTGTACACTACCCAACTCAACAAAAAGGATGGACAAAAGGACAGCCGGGACTTTTCGCAAAACCACACTCGACCACTTAACATTCAACACGTCTCTGTTTCGGTGTGCTTCGGTTACTGCGATCGACATCACTCCGCAACCACTTTTCGATCATTCGCTTCAATCAACACGGATACTGTTTGCTGCTTTTATTCGTTTTTGTCGACAACAGCGATCCTGAGTGTTACGTAGTTATTTTCTATATTTTTTAATTTCGTCAAAATCGAAAGACATTGTTTATATATTCCGGAATAAAGCAAAACTTATTATATATCGAAACACGGGATATTCTTTAAAATAAAGCGAGTTTCAATTCTAAGGCAGTGGTGGGTGATCCCCAATAAATTGTGTATCTATTTATTCATGGTCCTTCAAGCCTAAACGAAAGGCACTATAATTTACGTCCAAGACACAAAATTTGGTGACAAAAAGCAAAGAGTTTAAACACAAACCTACCAAAGATACAGTTAAGTGAAGTGTAGTGGAAAACAAAATAATATACATAAACATTTACAAAACTACTAAGGAAGAGTGCAGTGACTCAAAAAAAAAAAAAAAAATATATTTATATTTACATTTATATATATATAAACAAAGCGCAGTGCAGTGCTAGAAAAATATCCATACTCGTATATATACATATTTATATACATATTAGATAAAGAAAAAGTGCGTGTAGCCCAAAACATAAAGACAATAACAAATACAAAAGGGTTTAAACAAACAAAAATTCTCACAAACATATACATATTATATAAAGAAAAAGTGCGTGTAGCCCAAAACATAAAGACAATAACAAATACAAAAGGGTTTGAACAAACAAAAATTCACACAAACGGGCGCGAAATACTAAAGCACCTAAATACAACAACATAAATAAAAACAACTTAAACGGGCGCGAATTTAAAACAAACGATAATAAACAAAAACAACAATCACTAAAACCAAGCTCAACTGGAAGCGGAGAAAAAGGAATTGACAACAAAGGAATACACACACGTACATACCTATATATTATCCCCTCAAAAAACCCTTGAGGGAGCATAAAGTGAGTCGTATCGTTTCCTATTATTTTATTTTATCGTGCATATATGTATGTAAAAATTACAGTTTTATATATATAGAACCTGTAATAACAAATACGTTTACCAAAAAAAAAACGGTTACCAAACTGTCTCAGTTTCGAGTTTTTTTTGCGGGAAAAACCGAACACAGTCTAGTATAACATATATTTCAAAAAACATACTTATATATTAAAACAAAAACAAAAATTAATATTATCTTTTTGCCTAACTACAAGCTTACCTTTGTGTATTCAAACACACAAATTAACAAACACAAAAAACAAATTCAAGTATATACTTGCACATTTCTCCCGCAATACCCCTTATGTTTTAAAACAAAAAAAAAAAAACAATAAGCAGGATTGTATAAACTAAGTAAGCAAAGGCACAAGTATAAATCAAAATTCTAATATAAAAAACAAAAAGAAGAAAACAAACAAAAGCATACAAATATGCATATTTGCTTACATCTTATACCTATATATATTTTTGATATACATATTTACATACCAGAACATAATTGTACATAAATACAAAGTGCATACGCCAACATACCTGCACATTATTCACTTCGCTTTCGCGCTCTCTTTGAACATACATATTTATACATACGGCATATAATCTATGCATATGCTTATATACCCTAATATAAACAATATAAAAAGTTGTAAAATTACATGAAAAATAAAACAATAAACGTTGTGGTAAAATTAACACTACTACAATTGCTTGTAGATATTAAAAATTTAAAAATAATAAATAATTTATTATAAACAAAAATAAACATATTTTCAAAGTCCACATTGGCATACCTGAAAATTAATAATAGGTTATAGGTTAATACCTGTTGAAACATTATAAGTATAAATAATACAAAATGGTTAATGGCGACAAAAGTCAACTTATTAATTTGTAGGAGCTGTCGCCCAAAACAGGTTGCCAACTATTTCTGAGAGTGACAGATTAACAGATACTGCACCGATTTTCATCTTCACCGATTCAAGACATCTCTTGAATCGTTATTGGAAATAAAAACAAAATATTGACAATTTTGACTCGTTCCAAACGGCTCATGGCGCCAGTAGATTATACAATCAGATTCACTACACGATTTTAAATCATCGGCTTATGCGCTATACGAAACTGCTGACCAGTGTCGAAGAAACAAAAGCTATGATTTCTGGATCACCAAAGCACAAAAGCAATTGCACCTACCCACATCAGCGAGTAGAGCCGCCAAGTACAAAGTCATGAGGCAAGTTCATAGCATCCATCCAAGGTGCCCACATGATACAGAATATTTCATGGTGGTTATGAACAATGCCGTCCTTCCGGGACATGTTTACAGCCGTTTACATAAACCACCCAAATTAACAATGCGCAAAATTGTATCACCTGATACAAAACAAAAGGTCAAGCAGGCGTTATAGTCAAACAGTTCGCACTAAATGACGATAATTTCAATTTGGCTTGGGAAGTTTAAATCTAGATATGAAATGAGAGAATATTGGTCGATAAGCAAGTAACATACTAATTAATCCTGCCTAAGATTCAAAAGGAAACAAGTGAAGTGGGAGCAATCACTTATCTCGAAAAATGCCCAACGTGGCAACAGATGAAAGACTTTAATAACCCAATACGAAATAGCAGAAAGGGTAGATAAAATGGTCAGAACGAAACCGTTCAACACGACTCTACAGAAGCTTCCAGACCCTGCCAGTAGCAACAACACCAACAGAAGCTTCTTCAGGAAATCAAATGTTCACATCCGGAACAATATAAACAAACGTCAGTGCGAACTTGCGTACAGGGGTATAAGCTCAAATTCAGGAGAAATTCAAAATTGAATATTATCGACCGAAACAATTTTGTAAAAGAAAAGACTTTGTACAAATTGCCTATATCACATGCACATTACACTTAAAGAGTGCGAAAGGTTCTACTGCGTTTATTGTCATAAACGACATCATTCAGTTGCACATTAAAACACATTTTCCAGCTCACCCCAAACAGCGCAACATGAAAAGAGCCACGGGTTTAGTTGCACAGCAAATCCCGAAGTGCGAAATCCCGATAATGCTAAGAAGCACCATGTTGCTCAAAAGGCATTAAAACCCAAACGCTACACAGCGAAAATCAAAGTAGAGTACTCATTACCCACAGCAGTCGTTCCATCGAACACCGAGGAGAACTGTTTAAACTTAGGCCTTACAGACCAAGGGATCACAACGATCTTCATAGCGTCTAGGCTCAAAATAGGCTGCAACTGCCAATAAAACTAGCTAATTTTGAAAATCACGGAATGGGCGGAAGAGTAGTCCAAACTCAAATAAAATCTGCCCCATACCATATTTCCACAAGCGGATCAGCACTTTCAAGCAGAAGCTATAGCGTCTTACCGCAACTAACAAATATGCTTCCAAGTTATCATAAATAGCAAGACATAAAGGTTTCTACCTAAAGCCAGTGTTCCCAACTGCAACACTCCTGCTCAAATAGACCTTCTATTAGGCAGCGATCTCATACCAGATAATACTCGAGGTGTTGAGAGAAAATTTCAACCATTGCCACAAAATACTATTTTCGGTTGATCCGCGATTAGTTACAGATCCAGTTT